ATGAAAAGGACAACTGGTCACTCTGTTGCTGTTTAGACACTAAGTCATGTCTGACTCTTTGCAACCCCATAAACTGCAGCATGCCAGGCTTCTCTGTCCGTCACTATCTCCCAGAGTTTGCTCAAACTCATGTCCATTGAGTCAGTGATGCCATTCAATCATCTCATCCTCCGTTGACCCCTTCTCCTCCTGCCCTCAATCTTTCCCAGCAGCAGGGTCTTTTCCAATGAGTCAGCTCTTTGCATCAGGTGGCCAAAGTACTGGAGCTTCAGCTTCAGCATCAGTCCTTCTAATGAATATTCAGGGTTGATTTCCCTTAGGATTTACTGGTTTGATCTCTTTCTCAAGAGTCTTCTCCAGCACTACAATTTGGAAGCATCAGTTCTTCAGCACTCAGCCTTCTTTATGGTCCAACTCTCACATCCAAACATGACTACTGGAAAAGCCATAGCTTTGACTATACAGACTGCTGTTGGAAAAGTGATGTCTCTGTTTTTAATACACTGTCTAGGTTTCCCTAGTAGCTCAGTTGGCAAAGAATCTGCCTTCAATGCAGGAGACCCAGGTTCAATCCCTGGGTCGGGAAGATCCTCTGGAGAAGGAAATGGCAACCCCACTCCAGTATTCTTGCCTGGAGAATTCCATGGACAGAGAGGAGCCTGGTGGGCTATAGTCCATGGGGTGGCAAAGAGTCAGACATGACTGTGCAACTAATTTTCACTTTCAGGTTTGTCATAGCTTTCCTTCCAAGGAGCAAGTGTCTTTTAATTTCATGGCTGCAGTCACTATCTGCAGTCGCCGTCAGCCTTCTTTGGAGTCCAGGAAAATAAAATTTGTCTCTGTTTCAACTTTTTCCCCTTCTATTTGCCATGAAGTGATGGGACCAGATGTCATGGTCTTAGTTTTTTGAATGCTGAGTTTTAAGCCAGCTTTTCCCCTCCCCTCTTTCACTTTCATCAAGAGGCTCTTTCCTCCTCACTTTCTGCCATTAAAGTGCTATCATCTGCATATCTGAGGTTGTTAATATTTCTCCCAGCAATATTGATTCCGGCTTGTGATTCATCCAGGCTGGTATTTCAAATGATAAACTCTGCATATATGTTAAATAAGCAGGGTGACAATATAGTCTTGATGTGCTCCTTTCCTAATTTTGGACCAGTCCATTTTTCCAAATCTGGTTTTTTCTTGTCCTGCATACAGGTTTCTCAGGAGACAGGTAAGGTGGTCTGATATTCCCATCTTTTTAAGAATTTTCCACAGTTTGTTGTGATCCACACAGTCAAAGGCTTTAGCATAGTCAATGAAGCAAGAGTAGATATTTTTCTGGAATTTCCTTGCTTTCTCTTGGCAATTTGATCTCTGGTTCCTCTGCCTTTCCTAAATCCAGCTTGAACATCTGAAATTCTTGGCTCACATACTGTTGAAGCCTAGCTTGAAGGATTTTCAGCATTACCTGCTAGCATGTGAAATGAGCCTGGTTGTATGGTAGTTTGAACATCCTTTGGCATTGTCCTTCCTTGGGGTTGGAATGAAAACGTATCTTTTCCAGTCCTGTGGCCACTGCTGTTTTCCAAGTTTGCTGGCATATTGAGGGCAGCAGTTTTAACAGCATCATCACTTAGGATTTGAAATAGTTCAGCTAGAATTCCATAATGTCCACCGGCTTTGTTCGTGATTATGCTTCCTAAAGACCCACTTGACTTCACATTCTAGGCTATCTGGACTCTAGATGAATGACCACACCATTGTGGTTATCTAGGTCATTAAAACCTTTTTTGTAAAATTCTGTGTATTCTTGCCACCTCTTCTTAATCTCTTCCTCGTCTGTTAGGTCCTTACTGTTTCCATCCTTTATGGTGCTTATCTTTGCGTGAAATATTTCCTTGGTATCTCCAATTTTCTTGAAGAGATCTCTTTTTTTCCCCCATTCTATTGTTTCCCTCTATTTCTTTGCATTGGCATAAGAAGCCCTTCTTATCTCTCCTTGCTATTCTCTAAGTTCATCCACATCCCAGTAGAGGGGATGCAATGTGAAAGAGGAAAAGAAATTCTCTAAATCATGGGCATATCTCCCAGATTAGAATAACATCTTTAAAGAAAGAGGAAATCTTAAGAAAAGAGGAGGAAGATCAAGGAAATTTTTGAAGAGCAAGTGATTCAGTGAAGTAGTATGGAAATGAAAATGGTTGCATCTTCAGTAATAATGGTGTCACCCATGAAAGCATTGGGGGTTGGACCACAACATGGTATTTATCAAACTGCCTTAGTCATTTAAGTGTTCATTCTGCTGCCTTCCTTTGAACTTCCAGCCTAAAGCTCTCTCTCTGTAATGTTGTCAGCATGCTCACTGGAGACTTTGCTCCTGCAGATTATCACAGATGTTCTCTATGCCTCCTCTCACCCCGGAAAAAAGGGAAAAAGACAGTTCTGTCTTTGAGATCAGAAATTATCCAGAAAGAACCCGTATCAGCCGGAATCCAGTTTCTTGATATTTCTGAAACTGGAATCTGCTGTAACTAGAGAATGCAGAAGGACAATGGGCTCCTCAGATAAAAAGCACACAGGTGCCTCAGCCAACCAGAAACCAGTCTTTTCATGAAACACTGGGCTTTGAGCACATACTGTATAATTCCTTGACTAGCAGTTCATGGTCATGGCTTTGTGGTGTTTTTGTCCTTTAAAGATCTTGATTAGGCCACTTCCTTTCCTTTTCTATGTGTTTAAGAAGTGTGTGATTTAGGCTGTGACAGAGTGGAACCTGGAGGGGGGGTGTCTTCCCGGTGGCTTCAGTGGTAAAGAATCTACCTGCTAAGGCAGAAGATGCAAGTTCAATTCCTGGTTCTGGAAGATTCCCCTGGTGAAGCAAATGGCAACCCACTTCAATATTCTTGCTTGGGAAATCTTTTTTTTTTTTTTTTCTTTTATTTTTTTTTTCATTTATTTTTATTAGTTGGAGGCTAATTACTTCACAACATTTCAGTGGGTTTTGTCATACATTGACATGAATCAGCCATGGAGTTACATGTATTCCCCGTCCCGATCCCCCCTCCCACCTCCCTCTCCACCCGATTCCTCTGGGTCTTCCCAGTGCACCAGGCCTAAGCACTTCTCTCATGCATCCAACCTGGGCTGATGATCTGTTTCACCATAGATAATACACATGTTTCGATGCTGTTCTCTCGAAACATCCCCCCCTCTTCTTCTCCCACAGAGCCCAAAAGTCTGTTCTGTACATCTGTGTCTCTTTTTCTGTTTTGCATATAGGGTTATCATTACCATATTTCTAAATTCCATATATCTTTCTCTGTCTCTATATGATCCTTGGTAGTCTGACCAGCAAAATCTAGATACCTCCATCTTTCCAAACTATGATCTGTTTCTCCTCAAGCATTAAAATTGCCATATTTTTTTGATTCTTTTTCCTTTATTGTGGTCCAGAAATTGACTCTAGGCAGAAAGCTGAGGAGATTGTAGAGTTTTCCACCTTANATTCTGGGATGTGGGTCATAGAGGATCCTGCTGTGATTTATGTCGGAGAGTGTTTTGCCTATGTTCTCCTCTAGGAGTTTTATAGTTTCTGGTCTTACATTTAGATCTTTAATCCATTTTGAGTTTATTTTTGTGTATGGTGTTAGAAAGTGTTCTAGTTTCATTCTTTTACAAGTGGTTGACCAGTTTTCTTGCTTGGGGAATCTTACGGCTAGAGGAGCCTGGCTGGCTATAATCCATGGAGTTGAAAAGAGGCGAACACGACTTCGTGACTGAACACCACCACCACCAACAAAGTGGAACTTGATTTTCCCTTACCTGTTGGCCTCTTGCACCCATTGTTGACCCAGTCCCCTGATCTGGTCTGTCTCGTGGTTCCAGTCAGTGAGTACTCAAAGGTGGGGAGAGAACCATCATGTGTCTACATACCTACAATGTCAAGTTCAAAAGTATAGTCGTGACCTTGTCTTCTCATTCTCAAAATCTGTGATCAGTTCTTTCAAACCTCCTGTGTCTTTCTTAGTAAAGGCCAATTAGAAATCACTGAATCCCATCCCTATAGTGGTCAAAGGCCAAATTATGGTAAATTTGGACATAAGTGCCAATGGTAAAGATACAATTTTCAGGCCAGTTTAGCTGCAAGTGACAGAAACTCAATGGAAGTAAGCTCAAATGAGAAAGGAACTTCGCAGCTCATGTAACTGAAAAGTCAGACAGAGCTGGGCTCTGCGTAGGTAGGACTCAAATGGTGTTAGGAATCTGTTTGTCCGTGACTTTCCCTCTGTGTTGAGTGCAAACTTTTACCACATGGCAACAAGGTAACCCCAGGTTTACATGGGCCTACAGACTCAGATCCTAGAGGAAATATTTGTCCTAGTAGCACAGCAAAAGCTCCGAGCTGGACCCTGAAAGGCTTTGCATGAGTCACATGTCCATTCCTGAGACAGTAGCTATAGCCCAACTCTGACCACGTCTTGGTGTATGCCTGACATTGGGGTGGGAGCAGGGTAGTCGACATCCACTGAATCTTCAGGACTGAAACAGGCTTACTGTGGAAGAGGGCAGGAGATTTTTCTTAAAGGAACAAATGCTAGGAAGACAAAACACCATGTGCACCTAGAAATGAAGTTTTCCATCGATAGTTTGGGTGGAGCAGAAATGTGACTGCATCCTAACAGCATTCTTGGATCCTCTGTTACTTCTAGAGGCTACCGTCAGCATGTGTTGGCAAGTCCAGCTGATGGCCCATGCCTTTGTGATTGTCTCAGAGCCCAGAAAGTAACAGCAGCGGAGCAAAGAATGAGAAAGTCATGGTCATCAATTTTTTGGATTGGGTAGGACTCAAGGTGAAGAGTGGTTTTGTGAAGCAGTAACTGGAAGCAAACGCAATCCAGTCCAGAGCACCCAAGACTTTCCTGCCTGTGGCCTTTAGAGGAGGAGGTAGCAATGCTTGGATATTTCTCCATGATTCTAGTCAGAGGTCTTCTAGTTAATATCTACTTATCCTTCAGGTCAGCTCAAATCCCACTTCCCTGGGGGAAACTTTTCCAGACTCTATCTGCAAACACTCTGGTTATGAGCTCCCATCTAAAGCATTGTTTTTTTCCATCTCAGCATTCTTTCTTCATATGTAATCATGGGTAAGTCAATCTTATTTATGATGACTTGATTAAGGTCTACCTCCAGAACTGGGAGATGAGCTCCATGAAGCAGGAGCTCTGTCAGTTTTGCCACCACTGGATAACCAGTCCAACCCAGTGCCTAGCACATTAATAATGACACAATACCTATTTTTTAGATGAGTGAATGAGACATAGGTTCTGGTAATAGCAACTGATGCTGGTATGAAGATGTAACAAAACAGCTCCTTTTCTTGTATCTTATAGTTTGACCTTTCTCTTATCTCAATTGGCTGAATTAACGAGGTGCTGTTTTTAGATAGCCCAAGTAACCAAAGAGAAGCTGCACCAGATAATCAGCCCCCAAATAACTAGGAGGCCTCTTTACTGTGTATGATTTAAATGAAAAAAAAAAATATGATCTACTAAATATAATGGAGAACCATAGGCATCTTGGGGTTAATGAAGTTCTTGTCGGAAAAGGTTCTGTCATTTCTTAATATTATCATTAAGCCTGGTTTTCTCTCATAATCTCAAATTGTATAGCATGGAAGTCAGTTTAGTAATAAAAATGAATGCCCAGCTCCTGCCTCTTTGTTTGAAACTCTCTGGATGGTGATTTCAAGACTAAAGTGTTGAGAGTATGTAGAGTAAGTACATGTATGCATTGTACCCACCTCCACCTCTGTCCTCCCGCGCCCACTGTGGGGTCCTTCACTGTGGCCACAGAACTTCTCCCCAGGCATTGTGATCAAAGGAGTACGTATCAGCCTCCCCTGGTATGACAAACTGGGAGGTAGGGATTATTTACTTATTTAGTTATTTGAAAGAATCAAAATTATTTAATAAAATTTCATTTACTTTTTAAATGGGCTCAGTAGATATCAAAACTTTTCTGAAACTTCTTGTTGTATAGCTTTGAGTTAATAAGAAAAGAAGCCACTCTAGAAAATAACTGTGTTTCAATATTTTTTTCCCTCTCAGTACAATCTTAGATCTTCATGAGGCCATGTTTAATTTGATTTGCCTGGTCCCATTGGGCATCGCAGCAATTCAGATCCTGGTTTGGAGCCCCTTCTCCATCAGGAAGAAGACAGACTACACAGGGGTCTTCTAAGTATAATACCAGCCATTACAAGAGTCAAATGAAGTTCAGTTGTTTGTTCTCAAAAAGTTTACATTATGCCAGGGGGCAAAACTGTTCTTTATAACCTCGGATTTGCTTAGAAAAAAAATAAATAGACAAAAAAAAGTCTATCAAATGTAGAAGTTTTTGACTCCATAATAAGAATGTTAAATATGGGGACCTCCCTGGTGGGCCAATGGCTAAGACTCTGTGCTCCCAATGCAGGGGGCCTGGATTTGATCCCTGGTCAGGGAAGTGGATTCTATATCCTGCAACTAAAGATTCCACATGCCACAACTAAAAAATTTTGCATGCCACAACTAAGACCCAGCATAGCCAAATAAATAAATATTTTTTAAAAAGAATATTAAATATGAATTAAGCTGGGCATTTCCAAGTGGTTTCACAGCCTGAACACAACCTTTCACTCCTTACCCCTGAATTGCTATGTGAGTTGCTTTGGGTTTCCCAGAACTCACCTGACTGTGTGTGCCACTTTCTTTTATTTTTTTTAAGCCCCATATTTCTTATTTGACTGATTTTATTAGTGATACATCCCCCCCCCTTTTCATTAAGTAATACTTTATCATCATTGTCTGTAGATTCCCTGTGATTAATAGTCATCAGCTTTGGGAAACTCACGGACCAGGATAAGAGGACTCATATAGTCCAGATTTATGTGGTTCACTGTCTTGGTTGCAGAGCTTTTGGTTGTGAAGAAGCAGGAATTCAATTTCAGCTGTCTTAAAAAAAGAGAGGTTTTTGGTAAGGATGAAGTAGATAAATTCATGGGCATCTGGGACAGGAAATGAAACAGGACTAGAGCTCTTGCCTGGAAAATCCCATGGACGGAGGAGCCTGGTAGGCTACAGTCCATGGGGTCGCGAAGAGTCGGACACGACTGAGCGACTTCACTTTCACTTTTCACTTTTATGCAATGGAGCAGGAAATGACAACCCACTCCAGTGTTCTCGCCTGGAGAATCCCACGGACGGGGAGCCTGGTGGGCTGCCGTCTATGGGGTCGCACAGAGTCAGACACGACTGAAGCGACTTGGCAGCAGCAGCAGCAGACGGGAGTCAGGGAGCCTTTGTTTCTGTCACCTTCAGTCTTTTCTCTCTCAATGTCTCTCTGTCTTCTCTTCTCTTCTCTCTCTCAACTGGCTGAGAACCAGAAATTTCAGTTCAGTCATCCACCTTCATCTAACTGACTCGAACTCTGTGTACCTGTCTAGATTCTCTTACCCAGGAGTGATAACTGGCCTGGCATGAGACACTGAGACACAATGATGTGATAGAAATGCTTAATGGTTGGCTGTGTGAGAAAAAAGTAAGCATATATACATATGTAATTTTATTATAAATTTTACTGATAAAAATCTGTACAGTATGTGACTTACAAATCATAATTAAACATGGCTCCTTTTTTGGAAATCCCGTATACTTGTAATTTCAGCATGACTTGCTATTTCTTTTTCTTTTTCCTTATTTTTTGGCCACAGGGTGAGTCATGCAGGATCCCAGTTCCCTCACCAGGGATTGAACCTGTATTCCCTGCAATGGGAGAACTGAGTCTTAACAATGCACTGTTAGGGAAGTCCCATAACTTGCTGTTTCTTACAAATTCCATATTCCATTAGAAGTTTCTATAATTGGCAACAATAGTCATGACATCAAAACTATGAATAAATGCTTGATTATCATTCAATTCCAAAAAAAGTCACCCATGTCATTAACCAAGGAGTGTAGTTCCAACCTAAATATTGTTTTACATTTTGTTTATGTTAATGAGTAAGACAAAGCAAATAATGAAGACACACTTCAGAACTGCACTCAGTCAGCCATGACATGAGCAACCTCTTTGATTTACTGAATGATAGGTTCTGAGTACTGGAAAGAATATGTTGTGAATTTCTTATATTTTTCACAGTGGAACAGCTACAGACATGACAATTTTGAGTTTAATCTGCATTATTTTGGGTTAATCTGCATTATTAACATTTTATTGCTTCTTTAAATCTAGTCCAGGGATTGGCAAACTATCACTACTGGGCCAAATCCAACCTTTGGCCTATTTTTGTATAGTAACAGGCTTCACAAGTGGTGCAGTGGTAAAGAATCTTCCTGCTAATGCAGGAGATCCACCCCTGGATCAGGAAGATTCCCTGGTGAAGGAAAGTGGAATCCCACTCCAGTATTCTCGCCTGGAAAAATTCCATGGGCAGAGGAGCCTGGCAGGCTATAGTCCATGGGGTCATAAAGAGTTGGACATGACTGAGGATGCATGCATGCATGAGATCTAAGCATAATTTTTACATTTTAAAGGCTTATAATTAAAACTATGCAACAGAAACTGCATGTGGTTGCAAAGCTTAAAATACTCTTGGCTCTTCACGGAAGGAGTTTGCTGACCCCTGGATGAGACAATCAACAAAACAAAGCACCAGTTTACACGAATTTTCATGGTGTAAATACATCTAACATGGCTAATTTCAAGCTACAAATGTAATATCAGTAAATACAGATTTGAGAAGTACTAAGTAGCATACCATTGTAAAATTAGAAAGCAAAACAAAAATCATAATTCCATATACACATGTCATACCACATGTCATATCACATATACACATTCTATCACAGATAGAATAGGCATTAAAAACATTACAGAGAGACTTTCTTGGTTGTCCAGTGGTTAAGACCCCATGCTTCTATTGCAAGGAATGTGGGTTCAATCCCTAGCTGGGGAACTAAGATCTCACATGCTGCAAGGTNTTTCTAATGGTGGTGCTGGAGAAGACTCTTGAGAGTCCCTTGGACTGCAAGGAGACCAATCAATCCTAAAGGAAATCAACCCTGAATATTCATTGGAAGGACTGATGCTGAAGCTGAAGCTCCAGTACTTTGGCCACCTGATGCCAAGAGTTGACTCACTGGCAAAGACCCTGCTGCTGAGAAAGATTGAGGGCAGAAGGAGAAGGGGGCAACAGAAGATGAGATGGTTGGATGGCATCATCTACTCAATGGACATGGGTTTGAGCAAGCTCTGGGAGGTAGTGAAGGACAGGGAAACCTGGCGTGCTTCAGTCCATGGGGTCACAAAGAGACGGACACAGTTGACCTACTGAACAGCAGTATGTATATATAGACTTCCCTGTTGGCTCAGACAGCAAAGAATCTGCCTGCAATGCAGGAGACCAGAGTTTGATCCCTGGGTCGGCAAGATCCTCTGGAGAAGGCTATGGCTACCCACTCTACTATTCTTGCCTGGAGAATTCCATGGACAGAAGAGCCTGGGAGGCTACAGTCCACGGGGTTGCAAAGAGTTGGACATGTCTGAGTGACTAAGGATGCATCCATGCATAAGTTTATATATAATTTTGAAATAATGGCCATGTTTAAAATCCAGCTTGAGAATTCCTGAAAAGTTAGCAATGGCTCTCACCAACTAGCTTACCACTGGTGTACTTCACAAAAGTACTGTCTATGTTGCTGCTACTTGGTCTGTGGATGGGCATGTTCAATAAGAAATATAAGGGGTGTAGGTGGAGTAGACATGATTCATATTCTGAGTTCTCTGATTCAAGCCAGGGCATTGCAGTAAGAGAGTGCAAAATGGTACAGTTCCTGAATTTGTTTTCTTTTTGCTTTCCCTGAAATCAGCAAAGTTCTATCAGGGCCTGGAGATGGGGAGGGCCAGAGATGGTGATGTCGATGGCATTATCTTCCAGTAAGGTCTGTTAATCATAAATTCACACACTTAACCTTAAAAGGGAAGCTAAAGATTGTGAAGAAATTTGTATTTGTGCAAACTGTAATGTGCAGCATATCCTGTGAGGAGAGAATCAGTGAACCTGAAGATACATCAATGGAAAGTACAGGCATACCTCAGTCTACTGTGCTTCACTTTATTGCACTCCACAGATATTGTTCTTTTTGCAACCTGAAGTTTTGTGGCAACCCTGCGACAAGCAAGTCTATCAGCATCATTTTCCCAGCAGCATTTGCTCACATCTTGGAAATTCTTACAATATTTCTAAATTTTTCATTATTGTATTTGTTATAGTGATCTGTGATCAGTGATCTTTGATGTTACTATGTGAAAAGATTACAATTCTCTGAAGCCTCAGATAAAGGTTAGCATTTTTTAGCAATAAAGTGTTATAAAATTATGTGCATAGGGTTTTAAAAAAATTTGTATTGGAGTATAGTTGATTTACAGAGGAGGGCATGGCAACCCACTCCAGTATTCTTTTTTTTTTTTTTCCACTCCAGTATTCTTGTCTGGAGAATCCCATGGATAGAGGAGCCCGGGGGGCTATGGTAGATAGGGTCACAAAGAGTCGGACACGACTGAAGTGACTTAGCATGCATGCATATAGTTGATTTACAATGTTGTGTTAGTTGCAGGCGTACAGTGAAGTGAATCAGTTATATATATCCACTCTTTTTAAGATTCTTTTCCCATAAAGGTCATTACAGAGTATTGAGTGGAGTTCTCTCTGTAATACAGTAGGTTCTTATTAGTTATCTATTTTATATACAGTAGTTTTTTACATAATGAGTTTGACCCATTGAGTTTTTGACATAATGTTAGTGCACATTTAAGAGACTACAGTATAGTGGGCTGCCCTGGTAGCTCAGACAGTAAAGAATCTGCCTGCAATGCAGGAGACCTTGGTTCAATCCCCGGGTTGGGAAGATCCCGTGAAAAAGGAAATGGCAATCCACTCCAGTATGTTTGGAGAATTCCATGGACAGAGGAGCCTGGAAGGCTTCAGTCCATGGAGTCACCAAAAGTTGGACATGACTGAGTGATTAACACTTTCACTTTCACATAATGTAGACATAACTTCTAGATTCACTGGGGAACCAAAAAATTCATGTGATATTCACATTATTATGGTGATCTGGAACTAAATCCACAAGATCACCAAGATATACCTGTATTCAAGCTGAAACACAGACACAGAAAGAGGAGAGAGAGAAAATAGAATACCCAAGATATTTGGGACAATATGGAGCAGTCAAACGTACATTTGAATGAAATGCCAAAGAAAAGAAGAAGAAAAAAGAGACCAGGTTACAAGAAATATTTAAAGAAACAATAATCAAGAGTTTGTTATTTGTTTGTT